CTCGAATTTAGCAGCTTTTCTTTCAGACCAAAATAAAAAAAGTTTGTTCTCATTTATGTGAGATTCCGTTTCAGTTGGCATGAGGTGTATTTGCACATCGTTGGGTTGTAATTGTTTAGTGTATTTCAGAAATAAGAAATAATTCATATGCTTTTTTCTTTCTCATCCTTACGAATGGAAGAAGACTGTAATCATCCACCTGAAAAGCGAATTTTCGATAGAAAAATTCTAATTTATTTCGCGTTTCTATTATAAAGGTGTACGATTTTATATCCTTCTGCTACTATGTTGAAGTACACTTCCGATAACTTATCTCGAATAACAAAGTCGCAATGGGCCATGGAATTTATTTCCTAAATTATTTAGCTTCATTTTTTATGGATTCATTATTTATAAACAAAATATTCAATGAAATTACTTGTAAAAATTTAAGTAAAATCTTAAACAGACAAAACGATAATGTTAGTGTAATACAGAGACCATCATATTCTGAGAATAATTTTAGGAACACTTTGCATCTACTTGAGGACAACACTTTCTTTGATTTTTTTAAAGAAATAATAATTCAAGTGAACAAAAAATAATGAAACTATGTGGTAATTTGAATATTTGTTTCATGTTTTCTCACAGTCATACTGGTTCAAACTTTTCTGCATATATTTATGAATAATGTTGGAACGTAGTTAGTTTTTTGAAGAAGTACAGAAGAGCATATTTGATATAAATATTAAAGCATAGAAACATAAGAGTACAAAAAATGTGTATAAAGAGAATTCTAGCCTGTAATTTATATTGCATTGATTAATTATTCAAATTCTAGACAAACCAAATAACAAAATACATACAGCAACTAAATGTTTTATCCTAATTTTCAGGAAGAATGAACGATAGTATTGAAAATTCATTTAAGCATGCAAGTTTTCTGAAAACTAGTTCTGGGTCTTCATGTAAAGATTATTGTTGTAAGGAATCACGTGTGAATAATGAAATAATCATGTACAAAATGAAATGTTCATATTCATTACTTAACAGTAATCAGACTAACGAACAGCATCGTCCAATTACGACAGTTAAGCCTGACAATTTTTTTTGAAGAAACACAAAATCTGGTGTAATGCCTTTTAACCAAAATATTCATATCATTACATAATCAAGTTGGTATAAATTGCCCGTTTCCAATTTGTGTTCAAAATTACATTACCGTGTTCTTCAATTTGGGTGATGAAAATAAAATGATTTGTATGAGGAGTGTGCGCAATAATGTAGAAAATTTGAAAAATGGGGACTTTGTCATAATGTAGATTTTTCATATCCGTAAGCTTCATTCACATCAACTCTCCTAAACCATTATAGACAACTTACGACTAATATATTATTTTTTTTATAGCTTTCCTTATTCAAGGCCCATAATGAAAAACAACAGATTATTGAATACAAAACTGAACCACAAAACAAAGCAGATTTCAATTTAACATCAAACAACACGAAAGATGCTACAACAGCACACACATTATCACAATACTTCTAAATTCTGCAAATTTCAAAAATTCAGAGTTCAACCAAAATGAGACTTGCGCCATTTAAGCGTAATTTGCTCTATTCGTGAAAAGAATTTTAAAAAAATTAAAAATGTGTTTAGAAAATGTTTATAATATAATTTGATTTATTGTCAAACAGAAATTTACCAAAAATCACAAGTTTTTTTCAGAAAACTGTACATGAAGTCTTTTAAAGATCTTTTAGAACAGATTTTGTTTTAAAAAAATGTCTAAAAGAAGTACTCTAAAACAAGTAGTTTTGCAGTGTTACCTTTTTGCAAGTTTCCAAAACTAACGATTTAACCGGAAATGGGACTACCGAAATGTTTACCATTTTTTGTACGTACGAGAAGAGAATTTAAAGAAAAAATTGGAGTAATTTTTGAAAAAATAATTGTTTAAAAATTGCCTACATTTCATGCAAAATTACGCGAAAACCAATCATATTTTTGAAAAATTGAGAATGACCTTATATCATGGTCTATCTTTAAAGAACTGATTTCATGAATATACATTATCTAACATTCACGTGGTACTATCCACGAATTTTTTAAAAAAGTAATTAAATTGGTTGATATTGTTTTATAGTTACGTACTTAACATTACATGAAGATTTCATGAATTTTAATACATATTTATCTATTGATGATACACGGTGTCCGACAAAGATTTGAAGTTTTCGGTCTCGACGTTAACATGTGTATATTTCAAACAAATAAAGCTGAATGAAATCGCTGCATTAATTTGAAATTCTGTCATTTGGAAACGGCAACAATTTTAGGAGTGATATTTTTCTTAAAATTCTGTTAACCTAGAAAGATATGTTAATCAGTTACCGTGGATGGAAGTGAGAGGTAAGGAAAGAAAGAGAAAGAAAGACTTTAAAAGAAGAAAGAGCTTAAAAGAGAGAAAGAATTTAAACGAGAGAAAGAATTTAAAAGAATGGAAGAGTCACAAAGAAATAAAGTAAACTATGAAACAATGCATAGTTTGCCGTAATTGAAAACTTAAAACACCTACGCAGGACTAGAAGAAGTGCCCCAGGGTGGTGCCCCGCTGAGTGGGAGGGAACTCGCGGGGGGAAATCCCTGCAAGCTGACGTGTAAGTTGGCGTTGAATTTCTCGTTCCAGCTGGACGAGAAACATTGCCACCTTCCTAGATAAAGCATGCACATGGGATGTACAGGATTTACAATAGCAGTTGACGCGCACGGAAACACCAATCAATTAGACTATCAATCATCAACTTATTATACCAGGAGGTAAGAGTTCAATTAATAGTCCAATTTTTCATCCGTATTTTCCGATGGTACCGTTTCCAATCCAATTTTTCTGATGGTTCTCCGTTTTTCAATTATTTTTACTAACTTACCTTACTATGTAAAGAAGTAAATAATGTCTTAATTTCGGCCCAGATAACAAAAAAGTGGATAAATCTTCTTCCTATGTGTAGTAAATTGTTTCCTCTAAAGTTGTGCAATCAGAATCGATGTTTTGTGGGACATTGACCCAGAAAAAATCGATTGACGGCAAAATGTCTGTCGGTCTGCCCATCAGTCCGTCCGTCTGTTCATCTGTGGTAAACGATAGTACCTAATCAAGTCAGTTGATTTTATTGAAAATTGATATTCTCCGATGAACGAACTCGAGGCCTTAAGGCCTTAAAACGAACATTTTGATTTTTAAAAGTACTTCAAAATTATCTCAAAAATGACTCCAAATGTTTTCATTAAACTTTTTGCCCTCGTATAGAGTGCAAAGAAACGCTTAAAAATGCCGTACGTCTAATTGTTAAAATTTCTGAATTTGTGAAAATTTCAGAAGTTCAATGTTTTCCGTCGTCTTCCTACAATAATATTTTACATAGATATATTTTCCTGAATGAAAACTGTTGATCCAGGAAAGATCTTGAATAAAGTAGTGTTCAATTTTTCAAAAAATATGAGTAGTTTTCTCATAATTTTGCGCGAAATGTAGTTAATTTTTAAACAAATATTATCTCAAAAGTTTTCCTCTTATGTATTAAAGAGCGGTAAATATAGTAGTGTTGATCCCATTTTCTCACTGAAATTACGAAAATTGAAAAATTAACATGTCGAAATTACAGTATTGATGATAGATATTTTTTTCTCAAATGACATCTGTTCTTAAAAATGTTATCTTTAAATAAATCAGTACGTTTCGATGACACCGGTAGTTTTCAAGTAATTTATTCTTGAAATTAATGCTATTTGAAAACAAAACTGGTTTTAAAAACACCTCCGATTTTTTAAAACTTTTTTCCATAGTGCAAAGAACGCTTAAACAGATGCGCAAGTCTCATTTTCGTTGATCTGACTATTTGCAAAATTGCAAAAATTATAAATTAAATGAGAGTTTGTACTTTTGTAGCACCAATAGTTTCACATTAGCATGGTATAATTCATTTTGCAAAAAATAACAGCAAGAATTTCCCCTATGGCACCTTGTTTATATGAATTTAATATTCATCATTTCATTGTCTGTGGTGATGATATTCAAATACATACTATCACGAATTTTATAGAGGAAATACAAGCAGTATTTTACTTATTGCGTAAATGGCGATTGCAGAAATTGCGAATTTTGCCAATGTCAGATGTAATTTGTCTTCGCAAAGCGCATTTTCCTGTGTGTAGCAAGTCCATTCTTTCATTAACCACACCTTAGATTTTCAAACAAATTGCCTCATTGCCATCTTCATAACCATTGCCATCTAGTTGTATCTAATGTAATATTAGTTTTTCGTGACGGCGTTGAGCAGTACACACGTTGATTTTAATAAATTAAAAGAAGCAATACACTTATCTCCCTTAAATATTGCCTATTACATTCAATTATTGTACATTTATATTTACGTCAGTCAGAAATTGAGTCACATTTGACGAACAATTAATTGTAATTGCAGAGTGTTGATTTTTTTAACTGAAACTCAGATTTATAATGTTATTATTGTTTAATTTAGTAACATATTAGTATTTTAATATATTGAGGAATTTTTTGAGAAAGTTATAAGGTCGAGGTAAAATAGTAATTACGTAGAGTTTTCTTGTTAACAAACTTTATTGAATAATCTACAAAACAGTCGAGCGGATCCTCGAGAGAAATATATAAAAACAAATAAACTTCACATTAAATATGGTTAAAAGGACATTTTATTAATAGTAAACCATAAAGTAAAAGAATGTTTCACCTTCACAGTCACATTTATTGTCGGTGCACATGAAAAGTGACATATCTTAAAAATAGTTTTCAGAAACTCTTTTTCAACCAGGGTGGAGCCATATTAACTTTACTGACTCAGAGAGTGTACTATTTTAATAGAGGTTGACTTGTGAACAATTTTTATGCAGTTTTTATTTGAAATAAATGCCACTTTTTTTAATTTTACGAAAAATTTCCATTTTTGAGTAATATAATTTACTAGTTGATCGACAATCTCTTCTAATCTTCGATATACTCGAAGGGTACTGGAGGCTGAGGGTCCTCTTCTTCCAGATGAGGTCCGAAACAGCTTGCAAGTTCTATTACCTTTGCTCCAGTGTTCGTCCGAACTATTATAATTCCTCCACTGGATACCTCCTTCAAAGGAACGTATTTGCTATCATCTACTACCTGTAGGAATTTTAGCTGTTGCTTTAGACATCTAGAAGGATTGTTTAAAATACAGAAATTATCTTTTAAAATCTCTGAAACGTTTTCGGTTTTTGTGTCATATTTATTTCTATGCAACCTTTGTTTCTCTACCAATTTGGCATTTGTCTCTTCAATTTCGTTCTTAGATGTTATCTTATTACTTTTCCCACTTTCATTTTGATGATGGATTTCTTTTACATCATTTATATTTTCGTCCGCTTTCGCGATGTCAGTAAAACACTGCTTTCTCTCTTTCCAGCTTCGTCTTCGAGTGCAGAGTTTCGAAGCAGAACTGAGAACAGGAGCTGGGAAGACATTTCTTTCTTCTTCTGCTTCTTCTTCTTCTTCTTCTTCTTCTTCTTCTGTTTTATTTTTTTTAATTGGTGAAGGGTAAGTAAAAAGTGAGAGTGGAGCATTGCAGCGAAATTGCAGTTGCGGCATCTTCAGCTGGCCATTCAGAGCAATAATGCAAGTTGGAGTAAAGGCCAGGCCAAGGCAAAGCGTAAGAGGGAACCAATACCAATACTGCATGAAGAGCAGGACACCAACTACTGAGATAGGGTTTATGTGCCCTGCTCGTGACTGAAGAGACAAAGTAACATTGCGTCCTCCTGAAAAAAATAATGCAAAGATATAATATAATGTATTTAATTGAATCCAGACAAATAAAAAGATGTAAATAAAGTATCGGATTTTTTAATTTATATAAAATTATAGACCAAATCTTTTTCATTACTATGCTCTGTTTAGTTTTCAGAACTCTATCGAAAAATTCTTCGACAGCGTTTTTCAAGACTTGAAATAAAATCGATAACCTTATTTTTTTTAAAATACAACTATAAATAAAACACTTAGAACGAGACGAAAATAAAAAAAATAGAATCGCAAATGAGTAAGACATTACTGGAAATGTAAATAATTCAGGCTGTTCAAACTCGGCTATACGCTAGCTAGTTAGCTAGATCGAATTCAGCCTCTGCAGGAGAATTCTAGCGACTGACTGCTCTGATCGGTAGTTCTCCAAGGTTTATCCGATCAACAACAGGCGAAAGCCGGAGCAGTAGCTTAACAAAAAGGTCATGGACCGCACGCAACCTTTCCTTTCTCTTCCTTGTCCTATCCCCCTTACTTACAACCACTTACATTCACTACACTACTATATATGTCCGGAGCTTAGAGCTTGTTCCGGCCGGGACGGTGCACTGCTGGTGGGAGATATCTGGATGGGGAATACACTGTATGGCGACGAGTAATTCAGCGCCGGATCTCACCCAGCGAGGGGGGCATCACTTCCCGTGATAAAATCATGAACGACACTTACGGGACTATGTTGGCGCGTGGGAGCGAGCGATCACGACTTACCGCGGGCAGTGAAGGCTCGCCTGTTTTCATCGCGATGTCGTTCCGTAGGCGCCTGGTGAAATCGAAACCCTCGCGTCGCGAGTTGGCCTGTTTGTTTCGGCAATCGGCGGAATCGGTTAGATTTGGGAGTGGTGAGCTTATTGGGAGAAAATATCCTTCCAATTTTAACAGAAAATTTACAGTTCAAATCAGTAACAAAATACTGCACTAGAAATGTAGCCCTTCATCGCTTTTTTCTTTACAAGTGATGTTGCACTCGTGATACACGTGCAGGAAATCGAAAATTGGAAGCAAGCTCCCTTCGACTTATGACTATGCAAGACGTAATAAGATAAGTAGCCTCACCCTCCCCTTCAGTGCGCAACGTGGTTGCCCGTGCAGTGTGCGGTCTAACTGTTCATGCTTTGTATGAGATAAGTTTGAAGAGCCTGATTAGTTGGAAGGTACTAATACGCCTCAATCAAGAATACACAAAGTGTACGAACATAAAATTGTTTTTACCTGCATCGATGATACCCTGACTAAGTATAGCACCGAACTTCGCTATCGGGTCCTCATACTTGTCAGCAATCACCCTAGCATATAAGGAGCGAAAGTCCTTGACCTTGGGGCAAGTGTATTCAGTGTGCTGTATGAGGATCATGGCGGAAGCGATGAAGGCTCCCTGGCGCACGAAGTTGACCGGATCGTCCGTGAGGGGCTCCAGCAAGGCGACGGCCTCCTGCAGGCCAGTGGCGGCGCAGGCGATCCCGAGGGCCATGGCAGCGCCGTAGCGGACGTGCGGATTGTAGCTCTCCGCGAGCAGCGCCACCACGGCAATGCACTGCTGGGGCGCCGTGCACAAGAGGAACCCAATCCCCAGAACGGCGGCCCTCCTCACGTCGTCGTTGGCGTCGGCGACGGCGGTGTGCAACAGACGGCGAAGGGCGTTATTGTCGCCAGTGCCGCAATACGCCAAAGCGAGCGTGTACATGGCGCAGCGCCGCAACAGAGGGTCGCTGTGGCGGTAGAGCGTGGCAACTACAGACTCAGCCTCCTCCAGTCGTCCGTACATGATGAGAGCCACGCCCACCGCTAAGCCGCTCGCAATCTTCTCGTGGTCCGTTTCCTCAGCGTACGTTATCATGTCTTCAATGGCTTCGGAGGATTTGGATCCGAGCATCACCATTCCCATAGCGATGCCTGCTGCGTGTCCTGTGACAGCGTCGTCTTGATGCAAGTTGGATTTGAGTTGCTGACATACGTCTTGGCTGTGTGTACCCAAAGCTGCCAACCCCAAACCCAAACATCCCCCATGCCGAGTCATGCTATTACTAGCTTCTTTTAGTTGCTGCTTTAGATAATGAATAATTTTTTCGCCATGGTTTGCATGAATGAGACCTAGTGCATACAAGTAGCCTGCGTCAACAAAACCAGATTTGAAATGTTCTTCTTCAGGTAGATAACTCTGCACGAGTGTCACTGATTCCTCTTCACGCCCTCTATGTATCAATCCCAAAGACCCAATTGTTGTCACCTTACTCCAATTAGCTTCTTGAGCCAACCATTTCAAATTGTCACAGAGAAACTCATCAGATGTTGTGCCAGTTTGCATGAAGGCGTTAGCTATTACAGTCGCGTTATGGCATATTGAGGCTCTAGCGTGTTCTTTTGTTTGATTCAAAATGAACATATCTGAATTATTATTCCGAGAAAGAAATTGAAGATATAATTGCGCTGTAACTTCGCCGGAGAGAATACTGATTATATTTTGGGTTCGTTCCTCGTGTTTTTTCTTTTCTTCTGTTGACTGACTATTGGAAGTTGAGATTGGGGAAACGGAGGTCATTAATGTTGATGGAGCAGGAAGGTCATTTCGAAATATTGTTGAATTTTTATCAAATACGGACATATCTGGAGAAACAGAAAGTTCTTGAATAATTCTCCTCTGAAAATATTGCGCGGTGCAGTCATAAACGTCAAATGCAATTTGATAACTCGTGAGAGCATGTTCCTCCGTACTTTGTTGAAGATTTCTTAGAAGCTGGGCCACTGCGCATGGATCATTCAAAGAAATGAAACACTGACACATATTTTTGTAGTTCGGCTCATCTACTTTCTCATACAGTCTAACCAATAAATGCAGAATATTATTTCGAAAGGTACAATTGTGCATAAAATTTGTCACCAGTTGATAACCATAAGCCAACATTGTATTCATTTCACCTGACTCTACAATTGCTGTCTCAAATATATCTATTCGTTGTGTTTCCATTGCTAGACCTAACGCTTGTCTGTAATGACCATTAGCAAAGCATATTTTAAACATTCGATTCACGAAACCTGTTAACTGTCGTCTTATCCTATTTGTTTTAGATTCGAGTTTTGTAGTTGTGTGGCTTACTCTAGTGTAAAGATCAATAATTTTGGTAATTATAGTTTCTACATATTCAGTAGAATCACTCACATCAAACAAATTCCCAGCTCTTAGAGCATATTTTAAAGAATCATCGAAACTTCCTAAATGGTAATATACTTTACTTGCTACTAAGGCTGCTAATTTTTGTTCTTTGAATGTCTTATCTTCATGAAGTATTTCAATTTCCTTTATTGCTTCAGATATTTCTGGCCAAAACTCGTCCACAATAGCATTTAACTTTTTCAGAGCAAATATTTTTGGTTCTGCCGTTGGTTCTTTTAACAAAGATATTATTCCTGATGCCGATGTCAAATACATGGTTAGTGACAAAGATAAAAAATCACTAAAACTCAATAAAAAATTTCAAATAATTGGCAAAGAAAAATGGAGTCTGTTGCTGTTACTGTCTCTTCAGTTTGCACGTTCGACTTTTAATTCTTTTAAATTTTTGTTTTATTAAAGACAATAAAACTATATTTCTGCTATCAATCACAGGAAGATAATTAAGTTCTGTCTGGAAATAATCGTAATTCTTGAAAGATGTCTTCAAAGAAGGACACCTGAAATAAAAGAAAGCAGTATTAAGAAAACACTGTATTATGCTTAATGATGTCATCCATTTTGAAATAAAATAACATAAAATTCGCAAGAAGAGCATATTGAATTTGGATATTTGTTTCTAAGGCACAAACTTGAAATTTAGTGTATACCTATTATATATTCAGGTTTATTGGAATGCGATATTTATTTTCTTGTAGAATTGTGAATGGTTTGTAATATGCCAAGACCAATGTAAATTTTCAATTTCAGAACCATTCTGGGAGCCGCTGAAGCAACGTTTGAGATAAATGTATTGGGAAAAAGAACATTTTGGTAAAGTATAATAGATGCAAGACATTTCAATATTTTTGAAATGAATGTTCTCTTTGTTTGCTGACATACATTTTTTTTCAATTTGTTCACATTTTAGTCTCTTTATTAGCCACTCAGTACATTGAATCGATATGCCATGCATGCAATCTGTACAAACAAAAAAATCAAAATTTATCTGCAATATACATTTTGCTTTTATGTTTAGGTTTCTTCCCACCATAAATTTGATAAAGCTGTTACTGAATAGTATATCATTATATGTTATAGATACTATTACGTGTATCCTGTCTTTAAGAATAAATATAATAAAGTGAAATCATCAGTTGTTGTTTAATTTATAATAGCTCCCTGAACATCAAGATCCTCTGCCTTGTTCGGGCGTCGAACTCTTTACCGTCAAACCTAAGCCAAACCTCAATCCATTTTTATGAACTGGCAACAAGTTTCATGAATATTATATCTGCACGCCACAGTAAACTCCAGCAGGAGGTAGCCACAGGCGATTTTTCCTCTCATTCATATAAGGTAGCTTTGCATTTTTAATGCTCCCCTGCGAGAAGTGGTCATGCAAATCATGTCTTCCTTGTGCTTCCCGTTCTTCCCATTTGTCCTCCCCGAAAACAAGAACCCCTCCTCCTCCTCCTCCTCCTCCTCCTCCTCCGCCCGCGCCGCCTCGCCGCTCGCTCTCCCCGGCCGGGCTAAATAACTGACGTGATAGCAGCGAGGGAAAAAAGGGTGGCCGGCCAGCCAGGGCGAGGGAGAGCGTCCTGGGAGGTCACTGGCCATTATATATGTGGGCCAGGAAGAGAAGCGTATGCAGCTGTGGCTACTCGTGAAATTGTTTGACCGCAGGAAAAATGCTTTGTGTGTGAATGGAGGCGGGCGGCGCGCCGCGGCGGGGCGGGGCGTTGGGGAGGGAGATCGGGCTCGAGGGAGGCTGGCCGGTGCGCCGGGCGCCGCCGCCGGCCCGGAGAAACAAGAAGGAAATAACCAACTTAACGCGAGGAGTGGACCGCGCGGGGGAGAGCGGCCGTGCTCGCCGCCGGGAAAAAAAGAAGGCGGCTGTTGTCATTGGGGAAATTAAATTACTTTATTCCAGTGCTTAAGTAAGTGATTTACTCGGTGAAATATATGAGTTTCACTCCACTCTTTTTTGTGTTGCGTTCTTCAAAGAGCGCCCTTCTCGCTTTTGTGGTGTTTGGGCAGATGGAAATTTCATTTGGGATATCTTTTTGATAGCGCGGTTTCTGCTCGTTTTATTCAGTAAAGGACGCGATAAGTTTTTTAACTCGTATTTTTCACTTAACATTCTTGGGCTGATTTTATCTCATAATGAAAATAAGAAAATGACGAGAGATTTAAGAATAACATAAAAAAATGAATCCCTTTGATATTAATCTGAATTCCTCCGTTCAGTAGCTACAACTCAAATGCGGAGAATTGAAAAATATATCTAGCTGCACGTAGTGATGATCCATTCAACAAACCGTGCATTAAATCTAAAGAAGATTACCTTAAATCACTGTAAAAATGTACAATAAAAATTAGCACTGTGCGAAAATTTACTAATGATGCTTGCGATATGATTCAAGAATCAACAAACACCAAAGATTCTGAATTAATACAACTGAAAATAGAATATCTAATATTTTCGTAATGCACTCGTAATGGAGAGGAAAATCTAACTCCTTCAACTACTGTAAGAGACATTCTATTCTGTGACTTGAATAATATTCTGGCTGAAAGCAATATTTGTTAATAATTATTATGGATTTCTTACTATTGGTTATTTCATCTAATTCATTACACCCTTTTTTGACAATAGAAAAACAATTAAAAATATAGTTCATCCGGTTTTATATTGTTAACGTGTATAATTATCATAAATATACGAGTATTTAATTAAAAAAAATAGAAAAGACGTCACCTGTTTTGCAATTTTCTGAAGTATGAAGTATGATGTCTGAGGTATATATTTCTTCATTGTATATCAAGTATCATTTATTTAGCTATAAAATCAGCAAAGGAGTTCCTATGAAAACTGTCTTGGATAGCGTGTGTATTAGATTGTGGTTGTAACTACGTAAAGGTTTGTTCTCTTCAACTTTCCAGATGTTTTCATAAAACATAACAATGCGTGTAAGTATGAGAAGGCGTTCCGTGACCCAGCACTTGTTTCCTTGAAATCTCCCAGCGCGCCCGTAATGCAGCGTGCGTGTAAGCTCCTCACGGGGCCGTTACTTATTGACGAGAACTACTACCTTTCACTGTACGGAGATAGAACACATGTCCGAAGCAAGGGATTAAATATTGAGGGAAGTAAGTGAATTAGAGTGCTTACTTGCAATGCAAGGGCCTTAAAGGCGTTAAAAAGTCTGGAGGTGAAAGAGACGTTTCGAGAAGAGGCAATCTTTCATAATGTATCATTCGGTTCAAGTTTTAGATCATCAGGTGGAACAAGTTCCGAGAAGACGAAAATACAAAACGTATCCAGAAAACATATTTATGAAAACTTACTTTCGTTAGAAGATTGTAGGGCCATCAGATAAAAAAATTCATAATTTTTCAGCGTATGTTTAGTATTTTTCTAATCCGTGATTTTTTTATATCTTACCAATTGATGTTAATAACAGCTATTTCATCTATGTTCTAAAGAGAATTAATTTTTATAAAAAATAGATTTTTTTATTATCTAACGGAAAAAAACTACAAGTAGTGTTTCTGTAGACACAATAGAAACATATGTAGGACTACAATATTACGTCTTTCTTTCATTTAAATTATATTAGAGGATTTGGAAAATTCATATCGTTAACGAATTTCTTTTCCGAACATTTCGGGTACATACTTATTTTGTGTCTTTCCCGTTCTTAACAGATTAATGTTTGATAAATTGCATTAATGAGAGAAATCATATTTTCTTCTATGATTTTGATGCTCATAATTTGAAACATAATTCGCCTTATTACATTTTTGTCATTTAGCATTAGTAAATTTATTGTGAAATCAAAATTGACAAGGAAAAATATTTTCATAATTTTCAACGTAATGCTAATTAGGATAAAATCTAGCAATTATATATCGACATCTCTGAATGAGATTTAAAATCAGTAAAAAAAAGTTTTTTTCCATTGGTTTAAACTTCCATTTAAATGTAAGGGAAAAAAACCGATTCGGTTCAACTAATTAGTAAGTAGATTTCATTGTTTACACATTGCCACTTGTAAAGTTTTCGCATAATCAAAATGTACACATGAGATGGCAAACCAATGTTTCCTTCCGTTTCATTCTTGTAAATGCCAAGTAAAGATGATGACCACCCTAGGCCCCGAGTGGTATGTTCAAAATCTTAAGGCATGAGCGGGTACTTGGTCATCTTCGGCGGCGCTGGTGCCGGCGAGCGGGAGGGGGTGACGGGGCCAACGGAGCCTCCCAGGCAGCGGGTCCGCGGTCGATACCCGCCGGCCCTTCCGCCGGAGGAGTCGTAAAGAAACGGCGAAGCAGCGGCGAGGCGGCGAGTGTGCGCACGCGCCTCCCTCTCCGCCTCCGCCGACGCCCCCGCTGCTTCCTGCGCCTCCTCCGCCTCCGTCGCCACCACCGCCTCCGCCGCTGTCTCCGTTGCAGTCTCCACCACCACTACATCTGACACCTTCACCTCCGCCTCGGCCGCTATCTCTGCCGACTCCACCATCGTCTCCGCCACCTCCGCCTCTATCGCCGCCGCCTTCGTCTCCGCCGCCGCCTCCATCTCCGCTACTGTCGCTTTTTTTACCAGCATCTAGAGCGAGACCTCATGTACCTCCGTTTACAATAGCTTTTCTTCCAATTGCTTCAATACATGAGTGAATTTTCTTTTAAAACCTTTGAAGTCATTTTATCCAGGGAGGTGGCGGTGTTCTTTTCCTGCCGGAATGTGAGAACCGGTGCTGCCCAACACGTCAGCGTTCCTATTTCCATGTACCCCCCCCCCGTACGGGGCATCGCCCAAAGCCATCACTCTAAGCTCTGTGGCAGTGATGTACATTTCAGTGTAAGTGTGCGTATAAGAGTCCATGGCCGGTGTGGTATTGATCGGAGAAATCACAGAAAATTAACATTCGGAGCAGCTGGTTGCAAAAATGTTTCTCCTGGTTGACTCAGCTAGGTAACTAGACGAAAGTTCGTTACCTTCGGGACACCAACCCTAGGACCTCCCGGTCTACTTTGCTACGAAGGGAATGGTTTCAGCTCTGAGCTATGGCATCAGGTTACGTTGGTTATCGCACCCTCTGCCGCCACCCGACGACTACGCCTCTGATCAGCCGCCCAATCCGCTCTTTCCTCCTCTTCTAGAGCAGGATTGTTTCCTCCGTCTCTTCGCTGCTGCACTCGACGCTACCTTTTTTACTTTCAACTTTTTACTACCGTACTTTTCGAAGCCACATATGTAGCATAGTTCCTCACCA